GAGCTGTGACACTTATGTTGTTGGAAAGAGCAGTCTGGGCTTTAAATTGATGTGCTACTTGTATGGTTTGGATCGTTTTCCCCGACGTTAGTGAACTGAAAACCTAATGATTATCAGGCGGAGGTTCTGCTGCTCTCGGTGCTCGGGGGAGGGGTGGGCGCTCGTCACTCGGCTTTAGTCTACACTGTAATATACAGTACACTCTAAGGTTTTACTTTTGCATAAAACTCATGACAAAGTCGCATAAAAACATTTATATAACACAAACTCGCGTACACATACCTACCTTTGTACCGACCGGGCTGCTGTGTTAGCTTCCTGCTAGCTGTCGTGTGGAGGAGGTCTTTCCTCTCCTGGTCTTGGCAGTAAAAGGGGATAAATGTACATTTTCCTTTTGTAACCTCTGTCTTCTCAGTTCTGATGCTGTCTCTTGAATATCCTCAGGTTAGAAATGCCGATTACAAACGCAAGCGTGAGCTTTTAAAGATAAGTTTTCCCTGTAATGCTATGATCCACAGCTGTCGCCTCCTCATCAAGAGGAAAATGGATAAAAACTAACTACTGGATCGTACCTGCTGCTTAGTGGACACAACGGCACACAACAGAACTCATGTTTTATACCAGTAGATCACAGATGCTTTAACTTTTGTGACTTTTTCACGGACTAGTACTAGGAGCTAACAGTAAAAACATAGGCAGTAAGCAGGGAGTGGAAGGGAGGAGCGTGGCAAGAATTTTACTGGAAATACGTCATTAATGACCGTGACATATAGGCTGTTGTGTTCATACAGTATATTGTCAATATATTGTCACCTAGTGGATAAGTGACACACATATGAACAAAATGTCAGCTGTTAACATTAACATTGATCAATAACATTTATAGACCTCAGTTAGTGCTTCTAAATTCAGCCCATACATTTTGCAAGTGATAATCCACTAATAAATTTTAAAATTAGCAAAAGCCCTAAAGCACTAATCAGGAAATCAGTCCCCCATTAGTGCTTTAGGGGAACTGTGCCCACCACTGGCTGTACCAATATCCTGAGCAAACTATTCATCAATAATATCAAGATTGCATGTTTTTATAAAATTGTGCCGCTTTAATTTTTTTATATTTATGTCAAATATTTACTTACAAAGCTAGAAACMACAATATCTGTTCAAATTAGGTTTTTCAGCCAAAGAAAACGGTCATAAATACACTGCCTGGCCAAACAAACAAACAAAAAAGTTGCCACCAAAAACAAAAGGTCACACACTCAAATATTTTGTTCAAGTTCAAGTTTATTTTATTTACATAGCATCAAGTCACAACATACGTTGTCTCAGGGCACTGTACATAAAAAGAACAATGTAAAGAAGAAACCAGCAGGCTGCGTTGAATCACTTCATCACAGTCTCCCATCCTGAGCAAACGGTGGAGAGGAAAAACTCCCTGCTAATCAGGAAGAAACCTCCAGCAGAACCAGGATCAGGGCAGGCGGCCATCTGCCTCGACCGGCTGGTTGAGGGACAGGAAAGAGACACAGACAAACAGAAGAACTGGTCCGGGACTGGTCCAGGTGCACCTACTACTGGAAGAGTCAAAGAAAAAACATGATAGAAATAATTACAATAAACATGTAGAGAAGAGAGACAAAAGACAACAGCAGAGTGAAGAAATGTGCTCAGTTTGTGCTCCAGCAGTCCAAGTCTATAGCAGCAGAAATGAAGAACAATTCAGGAAACCCAAGTCTAACTACTGTATAGGATTTATCAAAAAGGAAAGTCTTCAGTCTAATCTTAAAAGTAGACAGAGTGTCAGCCTCA